CTCTCTCTCTCTCTCTCTCTCTCTCTCTCTCTCTCTCTCTCTCTCTCTCTCACACACACACACACACACACACACACACACACACACACACACACACAGAAACACACACACGCACACACGCACACAAGCACACACACACACACACACCTGTTCCGAAGCACAGTAACTCACCTCGTTCATTGTAATGATATAGGAGCCATTCCCCCTGTGAGTGACGTTTTTCTTGGGTGTGTCAAACCAGTTCGGGCCTTTGAATCCGCGCTCACGCGACCACTCTCCGACCTGAAATAATCACAATATTGGACATCTATTCATTGGCTAATCAACTTAAAGAATTTGATTAAATACAAATCATTGTCATGTGGCTTCGAAAGCAAAGGCGGAGTTCTAAGACACGATTGGTCAAGTTGCAACTTACTAATTGAGATTTCAAAAACCCATTCAAATTTACACACAAAAGTAATTGAAACTGTGCTTAAATTTAAAATTGGACATATATATTACATGTACAAATAGTGTTTTAAAGCCAATACTAAAAATGTAATGCTCTTAACAGACAGCAAAGAAACAGGTACATGTATGTTTAATGCAAAGATTATTCAAAGAAATGAGAAGAGAAAAGACATTTTAATCAATTATCAAATACGGAACACACAGTTGTACATCCAGTAGGACAAACCATGAATGCAAAAAGTTGGCAGGATTTAGAATTGAGACACGTGAAGCGCTACCGAATACCCCGGGATATGAACCGCACGATGACAAAATTTAAAAAATAAATAAATACGAAAGATTATACTGTTCCAATGCCCTTAATTCGAAAAGTGCGAGGAATCACTAGAATTATATGAAAGCTGGAAAATTATCCCAAGTAATTTTACAAACTTCCAAAAAAAGAACTATTTGGTTACGAGCAACGAAGGCACTGCTCCACACAAATTTCCGCGCACCACACTAATCTTCGCCACGCGGCCCAGTTTACCCGGCCTGGATATTATTCGACCGTTTTCGGGTTGTTTCGTGTTTATGCCCGAGTGAGTCAACAAGCAGTGTTTCGAGATATTATTGTTGCGGGTTCCCATATTCAGTTGCACTGCGATATTTTATATTATGGCAACAAAAATATTGAAATTTGAATTAAAAAAACTATACGTAAACTGTAGCATTGAAACGAATTTTTGATATCGTAGTAGTACCAATTTGTGTCTAATGTAAGTTATTAATCATATTCTTTTGCCAGATACACCATGGATTATTGTTATTTTCACAGCCAAATTGTACACATATTGGTATTAGTGGTTAAATGTGTGTTTTAAAATACGAATCAGCAGACGCATGCCACATAAATCAGTCCATGCAAATAGAACATATAAAAAACACAACGGAATTTGCTTCCAAAGATATATGTATAAGTAATTCGGACAGTGATACTTGGCTGCTCACAACATGGCACACATGTTATCGCTGGCATGCTGTAAAAGGTACTGCCTGGAAGCGCTATGTACACGTCTCCCTCGGTGAATAATTCTTAGAACAGCGCGCAATTATGACTACACCTCTGGAGATTCTTCTGGACACATAATCGGCGCGAAGGCGCTGAGGCAGAAATCCATGCTCGCGATAACCCACCGCAATTTTGTTTTGGCGTGTTAATCACCGACACTTAAAGAACAGGCGTTTAAGTAGTGACTATTCCCCGTACCCCAAGTGGCATTCTTTAATGTACGAGGCCGCCAAAAAGATTAAATTTATTTTTAACAAGGAAAATATAAGTGTAATTTGGATAACGTAAAAGCTTAAAGGTTGAAATCTTTTAAATAATTTCTTCCTCGTTATAGGAAATATTATGCAGATTAATTGCAACACGGACCACCTCTTTGTCAGATAGTAATATATACAACGTGGAAGACGGAAGGTACATGTACCTCGACACTTCTACATGCATATAAGTTGTGGCGGATAGCTGGCTTAATTGGTAGGACAAATTAAAGGGAACAATACAATGGTACCTTGCTTCGGCCTTTAAGCGAAACATCTGTGACGCTAAGGGTAAAGTTCTTCCTCTTGCCAGTTCTGTCGAAGACTATCTTTCCAGACAGCCCGGAAACATGTGACTGAAATGAATAGAGACGGCCATTACAGTTCCCTCCCTCTTGACTAATAGGATCACGATACGCCACCATTACCAGGCACTGTATCTTGCAAACTTATTAAAAACAACATCAATCATTGAGAGGGAGAGTGTGTTGTTTCTTGGATGTCATTTCGGCCCCAAGGGTTCGATAAAGACACGCATTAAAAGTAATGGCACAACGGCCCCGTGGAGCCAAGATGTGATTATGGAGAATGACATGTTTGATATTATAGGTTCATAATGAATTAAAGAGACAATGCCCGGACATATGCTGTCTAAAATGTCCTCTCTTTTGCATTTTCTATCCACTTTGGTTAAAAGAGTTCACAAATCTTTATGGGTTGAAATCAATACCCTATCAAATATTAAATGTTTACGCAAAGTATAAATAAAAGGAATGCATGTAACCGTCTATTTGATCTTGCCGTGTGAATAAAAAATAGTATATAAAAACTTCGGATTTTTTAGTTCGGAACTCAATTAAGAGATGGTCCTCTAGAGTGGAGAATTATAGAATTGAAAAAAAACAACAACAACCATGTTCATTGTTCCTTTAAGTGACGTATTACATGTAGCATTACTATTCAAGTACAGAGTTCAAAGATAATATTAAAAACCTGAGTACCTTCTTGTGTACATTAATTCAGAATCCAAACCTCTGTCTGACCTCACAACATAAATGCCATAAAATCAAATAAAGTCTTTTAAAACAAAATAAGGTGTGTTAAAGCAATAATTAACCTGTTTTATGGCACTTATTATCTCATTCCCAAGGTGCCATGGAAAGGGGGACGGGGACCGACATAGTATACCAGGCGCATCGTTGTTATATACTACCCCGTCACGAAATATGCCTCGAAATATGCTCGGGTTCCTCTCCATCATGTAGTTAAACGCATTCGCCAGTACAGACACGGAGTCCACTAGTAATGCTGATTGAAGCTGAAGTCAAGAGAGTTTTAATTCTGTACTTATTATAATTATTATGATTTACCTTTTCATGGAGTAATATAATAGTTTTTTCAAAAACAAACAAACAGTCAGATATTCTCATATTATATATTGCTTAACCACCAATTAATTATTATATTTAGAATGTAATTAATGAAAATAAAAGAATATGTTATGAAATATGATTTCTATTCAAATGGGCTTCACGATGTGAATATTTTGTGAGTAATATTAAATGTGCAATTATATTAAAAGTAAATAACGTTTGTGATTACACGGCTGTAAGAAATTTTATATAGATACATGTACAGCCTCCCCATTCTAGTTTATGATAGCAATCTTGTCTAGTATAAGTACCTGTATCCTGTTTGTGCCGGCTCCATAATATTTTGCTGGGCTCTCTTTTCTCCAGCCTCTCAGGAACCTTCTCAGTGTGGAGTCGGAATAATTGAGGAGATTAAAACCCGTCACATTGGCGCCGCCATATTCGTATTTTGTTAAGTCTAGTTCATCCATAGCCTGTTAATGAAAATAAGCATGGCGCACGTGCACGCACACACCAACGCATGTATGCACACGCACATATCACACACTGTGTGCGTTTGGAAGAAATTAAAAAGAGGATAATACAAAATTTGAGGTGCTTTTGTTTTCTGATATCCTCGGCTTATGTTTACTTTCATCTATCTCGTCTTCAATACAACAATGAACACTTTATATCCTAAATATTAAAAAGCTAATGCAAAATTTACATGATTTAAATAGATTGGCCATTATTGGGAAGGCCTACCAGTAAAGAAAATTGATATCTTAACATCATTTTAATATGAAATCAATAGATAACTGCATATTTATATATTTTGAAACAATGATGTTATTTTATGTAAAAAAGAGAGCCTAATGACCTGTGTATTTTCACACTAATGATATACTATAACTAGAAACTAGTAATAAAATGTCACTCGTTACAATTGATTCGGTACTCCCAATTCAGTGTATGTCTTTACTGTCTGTGTACTTATTAGTGGGGAAACCACTTACATGATGTACGTTTGAAACCAAAGCGTGACTAAGCAACTTCATTTCATGGGCTTTTTTCCAATAATGACATACTAAGTATTCAAAAATTCTCAACGCAGAAAATATGCCAATTGAACGCCGTAGGACTTTACGAGCACAAAACTTAATTATCTTCGCATTAGCCCTCTTTCTATATGACTGGAAACTAATATAAGCGCTGCCAAGAATCAGATTATCAACTGAGCATGACATAGCAAACAAGCTGCCTTTTTATACTCCCATTGGTTGAAGCCACATTTGATTACATTTTCTTAGTGAAATAATTTCTTTGTAAAACAGGAAATACTAGACACTCACCAATGTACCCAACAAGTAATGGTACCCGATTTTGTTCATACCAACAACTGGGATCTAGAACAAAACAACACAGAAAAAATATAGGAGAATTGCTCTGTGACTTAATGGGGTAACATAAATTATTATAACAATACCTTTCAAATACTCTTCAGTTGAAATCATTTGTTTCCATTAAAATAATGAAAATATAAATCACCTAGCCATAAATCAACCGAGACTAAAATGCAGTTTTATTGATCGGTAAAATAGAATGATGGCGGTCGGCTTTCTAATTTCCCTAGTAATACTGGTTTTGTTCAATGAACCTTGTTCGCAAAGGGAATGTCGATTTACTAGGGTGTAACTACACTTTTTCACTCAAAGCATATTTCTGTTATGAAAAGCGTTACCTTACTGATTAAAACAAATTCCAACTTCTGCACAAATGTTTTCCCCTAAATGGCAACAAAAGGAACGGAATTTTGCAAAAGTATACAAACCTTATCAAAATAGGCTATAAGTTCGAAAAATAATGTAACTTGTACCTGTCTCAAAACTTCCTCTAGTGCAGTCTGGTCCGCCATATCTAAAATAATATATTTGGTAGCAAACCGTTGAGGCAGTTTGTCCAACTCTCTTAGATCCATGTATGCGTCACTGGCATTACGTAACCTGTAGCCCACCACTGGCTTGGGTGCTTTAAGTTCTTCCAATCGACGGTTCAGGTATGAAAACCGAGAAAACCCTGCAAATACCACATTACAGACATATAGCTATAGAAATGGAAAAATGTCCTTTATTTCGTTATTCAGCCTTCTCATCTTACATGTATACAGTCTATAGTCTAGAAAATGCCTAACTTTTTGCAATGAAGTGGAAAATTATGTTAGCAAAGATTTTTCAGTTGAAACAGGTTTATTGTGGGTCCTTCGCCTATTGGAAATTAGTCATAACACAAGCTTTTTAAACTGGTTTCAATTACAGGCTAAGTCAAACATTATACCTCTATACCTCTGTACAATGTTGGCCGTTTAGGACTTTGACCTTAAAAGAATGTTTTCCATGGGTCAATTCTGTTGGGAAATTATGGGAATGTGTTTTATTTGTTCCGCAATGACAATGATTCAGTTGAAAAAATGCTTTGTTAAAATTTTCGTCCTGAGTGATTTTTTGTACTGGGCAGGTAAAATACACTGTTTGTTAAAGGGGGAATGTTTCGTGCAGAAACCCTAGGGCACAATAAATGTTGCAAAAAACGAGCCAGGATACTAAATTTGTTTCACTTACCACCCTCGCTATTGAAAACGTAATATATGTAGCTGTTCCACCTTAGGTAGATTATGGTCTCTATTATTGCGTCAAGGTGATCTGGAAGCATGTTGATGACGTACTCGTTGTCAAACTGGTGCGTCACACCCCCTTTGCTGGGGGTTAAATAAGGCATGTGTAGTTTATTGGCAAAGTCTATGGCGGCAGCTGCGGTCGAGGCCTGGTCCAGTCCAATTATTGCAAATATACCCCTTGACATAAGCTTGCACACTAAAATAAATACAAAGGATTTGTGTGTGTGTCGCATTCCAGAAAGAAATCCAGAAAGATTTTATTTCGACCAAGGCCTAATTAAATTCCATTTAGATTTTAATTTGGCCTATAGGCAGGATTTTTATTTCAATTTTCTCAAAATTCAAATCCGCCTAGGCCATATCAGTCTGGCCTGCTGTATATATACAGAACATACACAAAGGTATGGTATAAAGCAACGTAGCCCTATGCGTCTTACTCATCTGCTTTACCACTTAATCTGTTTTAAAATATATTTGGAAACTTCATTGAGAGTACAAAAATAGAGTTTTTATACCGGAATGGGCTCCAACTGTTTCACATTTCCGCATGCAAGTGCTAGGCTTTCACATACGTGACCATTAGGCTTGCCGTTTTGCATAAAAACGGGGTTTAAGTGCCCGCAAAATTGGTTGTGTTGCACAAGCTTAATGTTTTTGCTCTTAATCTTCGACATTTTTGAGAAAAGCTAATAGGTTAGTATACCGCTCTGAATTGTAATTGAATCTAGTTCCTCCCATATCGCAAATACCATTACGAAGCGGTTAAAACAGTCCAGCTACAATATACTCATTTACCCCTTTATGCAACAAACATTGGTAAAAGTATCCCTTTTGGCAGCAGCGGTTAAGTGTTTGGGTACTTTAGTGACGCGTGACAGAGCCTAATTACCCTGTCAATTTGGCAAAAGTGAAAATTTTTTGCCCTAACTAAAGGAGAAATCAGCCAAATATAGACAGTGCACTCTATTTGTGGCAGCCATTTTGTCTGAAACCGATAATTAAGTTATTGAAACTGAGCCTCGCGTGTTAAAAGAGTCATAGCTTGGGACTAAATAATGTTTGAATATAAAGAAGGTTAGCAAAATATAATACTTTAGAGATGCACAAGATTGATTATGCGGGTATAGTTTATACTCTGTGGAATTACTTTCAGCGCAATTGCGTTTAATGTGCTTTTTTCTCCGCGCAATTTGTAGATGGTTATAATTTGTGTATGTACATGGTCAGAAAATACAGATACATGTTGTATCATAGATAAAGTAGATTATAAGAGTTCTCCCTTGACATGTGTATGCGCTGAGATAATGTCATTTTGTGAAGTATCAATGCTTCAAGTCCAAACACAATATACATGTATTAAGAAATACTTTACAACTACATATTGGATACTTAACACGCAGGGGCGATTCACAGGTTCTTAATTAATATTACACAAAATGTGGGAAAATATCGAAATGCATGCAACCGTAATAAACTAATAACTTGGTGGACTCGGTGTCAGCCTGGCCCTTGGTTCTGTGCAATGTTAGAGCCAAGCAATATTTCATGTATTGAAATTAATTACGTGGTATAGAAGCAATCACTAGAACTATTATACCTACTAGCACCAACCAGATGGTTAGGGCTGGACAGGTTTATGCTGTCACTTGGCGGCATTTGTACTGTTAGGTTGAATTCCTTGTACCGACCCTTGTTTCTGTTAAACTGAGACTCTTTGTACCTCAGTGCGGCCTCCTGTTTGAGGGAAACCTGGTCCAGTATGGCACCTTTAAAGGGAACAGAAAAATATAAGTCAATCTTATATATGAAAGTGGCCTTTTTTATTCAGCATTTATATATATGACATGGACGTTATGTAGTATATTTGTATGTCATAGTTTTCCATTGCATCGACTCAAAGCTAGTGGATACAACCAGAAAGAAAGACTGAAAGAAAAACAAGGAAAAAAGTATTAGCTTGACAGTGTTGGTCACAATTATCCCGTGATTTACATTTACAGCTTGATATCGCCCCCCCCCACCACCCCCTCCTTGAGGTCGGTTTATTATACGATATAATCAAAGAGTCAAAGTATAAACAATACACTGGGCGTGTTTGATTTGTATAAACCAAAAATACTTGCAAACAACTCTAACTCATCAGGGGCGTAACCAGACCTTTAAAAATTGTACGCACAGATTTTTAAAATTCCTAGCAAAATGTAGACTAACGCAAGAGATGAAGGACAGCGTAATTACAGCATATGTACCACACATCGCAGCTTAATTTCAGTTAATAATAAAATCATCATTTAGTCAGGAATATTCTCGCAATTAAAAAAGTTTCAATATTCTTATTACCCAGAACGGTATATTTATTTAAAAGGAGGCTAGCTTCGCATATGTGGAACCCCCTTCGAATAATCCTGGATCCACCTCTGAGTTGAACTAACATACGGTTTCATTCACCTTACATGTGGATGCATGGCTCCCAAAAACAACCAATTGTACGACACGACAGAGCTCTGATACATCTAAGTTTAATTATTTGTTTGTAAAAATTGCCCATGTCACCCTGTTAGTTTGGAGGGATAAGCTGGGTCAAGTCCGTGTCAAAATTCTTTGAAACTTTGTTGGAAAAATCCTTCCTTTGTTTCTCTAGCTCCTTCTTAAACCTGGTGTCCAGATTTTATCTAGTGCCCCCAGGGTTGCGGGAGCTGCTCCTTGAAAATAACACTCAGGCAGATTTTTACCTGAGATAAATATTGCCAGCGAGAATGCGTTCGATATTCTCAAGAAAGAGGGTACAGAAGAGTTGAGGGCCACTGAACCCTCCAATTAAGAGGTAAAGGAAGTTCCAGTTAGATGGACGATTAAGATAGGACTTGTTAAGGTTATGGGCATTGTTTACCTCAGTTTGCAAGGCTGGGGGGGGGGGAGGGGGGGAGGGNGCTCCATAGACGTACACTAAACTTGAATAAAACCATGAGCCTGACTTGTTACATTCTAAAGCAATATATTGCAGGGGCGTAACCAGACCTTTAAAAATTGTACGCACAGATTTTTAAAATTCCCAGCAAAATGTAGACTAACGCAACAGATGAAGGACAGAGTAATCACAGCATATGTACCACACATCGCAGCTTTATTTTCCATTAATAATAAAATCATCATTTAGTCAGAAATATTCTCGCAATTAAAAAAGTTTCAATATTCTTATTACCCAGAACGGTATATTTATTTAAAAGGAGGCTAGCTTCGCATATGTGGAACCCCCTTCGAATAATCCTGGATCCACCTCTGAGTTAAACTAACATACGGTTTCATTCACCTTACAGTTTAATTATTTGTTTGTAAAAATTGCCCATGTCACCCTGTTAGTTTGGAGGGGTTATAAGCTGGGTCAAGTCCGTGTCAAAATTCTTTGAAGTTTTGCGGGAAAAATTCTTCCTTTGTTTCTCTAGCTCATTATTAAGCCTGGTGTCCAGATTTTATCTAGTGCCCCCAGGGTTGCGGGAGCTGCTCTTTGAAAATAACACTTAGGCAGATTTTTACCCGAGATAAATATCGCCACCGAGTTCGAATGCGTTCGATATTCTCAAGAAAGAGGCTACAGAAGAGTTGAGGGCCACTGAACCCTCCAATTTAAGAGGTAAAGGAAGTTCCAGTTAGATGGACGATTAAGATAGGACTTGTTAAGGTTACAGGCATTGTTTACCTCAGTTCAATAAAAGAATGCAAGACAGGGGGGGTCAGAACAATTGTGCCTATACAGGATTTGTACATACAGGTGACTTTAATAAGCAGGGGATTTTCTTTTATATTCCGTGAAAAATACACTAAATTTATTTAAAATAATATCATGGTTGGCCACAAAAATGTACGCACAGTGCATCCGTGCGTATGCCTAGTTACGCCCATGATTGTTACATAGCTTGTGAAAACACGCAATTTTAATGTTTATTTTCAAAATAGGAGTTTTAACATTAAAATGTATAAAATAATGAATCACTTCAGTACCTTATGCTTTCTTTCTTTTACAAACCATTTCGCCCTAGCGCTGTGAACCCACATTCACAGAGAGCGAATTGGACGGTCCAGGGATTGGGGGAGGGGTTATAAACATGTAGGGTAAAGGTGGGGTCTGATCTCATTAATCTCTCATGCACCATTGCCAGGTTTTTCCACTGCTTGATTCGTAACGCCCAAGACAGAGACAGAAGGTAAACATTAACCCTTCACCCTTAAACCCTTAAAATGCTCATTTCAAAAATA